TCAGCTCCCCAGCTGAGCATTAAAGAGAGAAGCTATTCCATTTTTCCCTTGCCTGCATTTTGATGTATATGTAACAGTGATAGGGACATGCCAATGATGCCATTATATCAGATATGCATCATGGCTTTATCGATATCGTGTAGGTGTGTCAGACACTATATTAGTGCCTAATGTTGATATGGCATGAAGGTTAGGATTATTTCAACTTATGTTGATATGGCATGAAGGTTAGGATTATTTCAACTTATAAATATATATATATGTTTAATGTGAGATGAGAATTTGGTAACATTTAAAAATTATTTTAAATATCTTGTAAGTAGAGGTTGAAATAAGTCCGACCAACAGATTTACGGTCTAATTTATTAATATCCAGCGAGTAGAAGTAGAAATAAGTTCGATTAACTATTAGAGATTTACGGTCTAATTTACTAATATCTTGTGAGTAGAGATAGAAATAAATCGAACCGACTATTAAATATCTATCGTCTAATTTATATATTATATAGGTTCATGGTAAATTAAACTTTTTTTTAAATAGAAAATGTTTAAAAAAAGTTTATAAATTTATTTAATTAAAAAAAGTTAAATTTCAGACTATAAAAAAAGTTTTCTAAACTTATTAATTTATTTAAATAAATATGAATATATTTTTATTATTATTATGTCATTTTTTATACTTTAAATTAAAATACATAAATAAAATTTAGTTATATTTTAAAATTTATAAAAATAAAATAAACATATCTTATATAATATCATAAGTTATTTTCATAATTTTTCTTAAACAAATAGTCTAGTTAAACATGTATTAATACAATAATTTAAAATAAATCACTACAAACAAACTTTTAATCTCATTGATATTTTAATTTGTTAGTCTCTTTTGTCTCAAAATAAATATCTTTGTAACAAAAAAAATTGTCCCAAAATAAAAATCTCTACATTTCCAATGCAACTTTAATTCATTTTTATCAACTTTATCCATAACAATTATTGTTCCAAGTTATTAAAACATACTACATTTATAACAACCAATAGTAATTAAGAGCAATTTTATAAAATTATTACATTTGATTATTCGATCATTACCTTTTTTAATTTATGTGTAACAATCTTAAAAGACTTTTATTTTGAGACGGATAAATTATTTGAATTGTTTATTTACCTATGTAAATAGGTTTTTATGTATACTAACAAGCTAACAAGCTATTTGAAAAGATAAGGTTTGGACCTAAAAATAAGCATATGACAAATTATATGTCAGCCTTAAGCTTTACTTTGTTTGACATATTAGATTTAGGCTTGACAAAATTTAGTTCGACTCAGTCTATTTCACTCCAACTTGAGAGTAAAAAAAATATGAAGTACTTGTTAAAACCAGAGTTTTGGCATTTCAGTTGTGGTAATCGGCTACGGATTTTTGCGTAACCAGTTACGAAGTTGTTTTTTGGCTGAAGGAGTGCTGGCACAGGCTCGTGATCGGTTACGAAATTTTGCATAACTGGTTACGAAGGCGAAATTTTGTTTTTCTAGTTTCTGTTATTTTCAGCTTATTGAGTTAAGTTATTTTTCTGTTATATCCAATCATGTGTGTGTACTTATTATATATAGTACATTGTAAGCTCTCATATCGTTGTTAATGCCAATTATTCTTCTCAGCCTCAATTACACACTCTTTCTTTTCTTCTCGATTTCTCAACTTTATTTTCTCCAAATTAACTCAATTCTCCATCAATTCACAATTAGAGATTTTGTATGTTCTAACATTTGACATCAAGAGCACTAGTTATGATCTAATTCTGTTGCAACAATGAGTACCGTTTCCAACGATAGAATTTCCACCAACCTTCTGATTCTTGATTCGAAGAATTATGACAAGTGGTCAAAGCAAATGAAAGTTCTGTTTAGATATCAAGAAGTTCTTGAGATCATCAATAATGGAGTTACACCACTTGGGGTTAAAGCCATAAATGCTCAAAAGGCTTCATTCAAGGAAGAAAAGAAGAAAGATTACAAGACACTCTTCTTGATTGATTCTTGCGTCAATGGTGACAACTTTGAGAAAGTTGGCAATTGCGAGTCGGCGAAACAAGCTTGGGATATCTTAGAAAAAGCTTTTGCAGGGGCTGTTAAGGCTATGGTGGCGAGGTTACAAACTCACAAGAGGCAATTCGAGTTAACGCAAATGGAAGAGAAGAAGATGATCAACGATTATGTGACGCATATTACGCGTTTAGTGAATCAAATCAAGTCTTACGGAAAAACTGTTTTGGAGCAGAATGTTGTGTCGAAGACTTTGTGTTCTTTAACATTAAGATTAGACAATAATGTAGTGGCTATCGAAGAGTCGAAGGACCTTGCAACATTGAGCAAAGATGAGCTTCAAAACTCTCTTGAGGCTTATGAGCAAAGGCTGGATGAGAGAGGAAGCGATAAAGTTAAACCGGAGATTGATTTGCAAGCACGACTTAACGAGAAAAGTAGAAGATCGAAAGGAAAGTGGATTTCAAAGGGGAAGCAAAATTCATAGAATTTTGGTGGAAATGATCCATAAAATTCGAAGGTTTCGATGGTGCAAAAAGGTGAGAATAGCTCCAATGGGTATGGTGATCGAGGCAATGCTAGAGGCAGTAAACTGAGGGACAAAAGCAAAGTTCAGTGCTGGAAATGTCGAAAGCTTGGACATTTTTTAAGTGAATGTGGTGCAGAACAGTAACAGGTCGAAGCCAAAAATGAAGGAAATGTTAGAAGACCAACAAGACAAAGATTTTTGCCTCAGAGACTCCAAGTATGTGAAGTATTCCGGGATAACAAAATCAAAGATGATGGTGATTTTGTTCACTTTGTGCTTATGGCCGAATCTGAACCAGTAACACGGAAGAGACTCTAAGCATTTCAAAGTGGATTTTTGCAATGAAGGAATAGCTGGAATCTATTGAAAAAAATGGTACTTTGGAGTTGGTCGACTTACCGCTTTGAAATAAGTTAATAGGTGTGCGATGGGTCTATAAAGTAAAGGCAAATCTCAAAGGCGAGGTGATCAAGTATAAAGCTCGACTGGTAGCGAAGGGATTCTTGTAACGTGAATGTATAGACTTTGAGGAAGTGTTTGCACCTGTGGCTAGGCTTGAAACCATCTGATTAATTATTGGCATTGCGAATAACAACGATTGGGCGATATATCAAATGTACGTCAAATCTCCATTTTTGAATGTGATTTATTTGGTTGTGGAATTCTCTTTCCCACATCGGATACGGGCCAAAAATGTGATTTACTTGGTTTCAGCAATTCTAATTGGTGCAGTGATAAGGATGATAGAAAGTCAACGGCTGGATACATCTTTATGTTTGGTAGGACACCAATCTCTTGGTGTTCGAAGAAGGAACCAGTGGTAACACTCTCGTCCTGTGAGGCCGAGTATACTGCGGCTTCGTTGTGTGCGTGTCAAGCCATGTGACTCATGAATCTATTGAAGGAGTTGAGTAGCAATGAGGGTGAGACTACTACACTTTTGGTTAATAATGTTTCTGCAATCAACCTTGCGAAGAATCCGATTGCACACAGAAGAAGCAAGCACATAGAGATGCGGTTTCATTATTTGAAGGAGCTAGTAAGTGAAGGCAAGTTACGATTGAGATATTGTCGAAGCAAAGACCAACTTACAGATTTGTTGACCAAGGAGGCAACAAATGAGGTGTTCAAAAGGTTGAAGAAAAACTTAAGCATGCTGGACTTGAAACAAATGAAATGAGGTGGTGTGTTAAAACCAAATTTTTAGCATTTCAGTTGTGGTAACCGGTTATGGGTTTTTGCGTAACCGGTTACAGAGTTATTTTTTGACTGAAGGAGTGCTAGCACGGCCTCGTAATTAGTTACGACATTTTGCGTAACTGGTTACGAAGCCGAAAATTTATTTTTCCAGTTTCTGTTATTTTCAGCTTATTGAGTTAAGCTGTTATATCCAATTATGTGTGTGTACTTGTTATATAATACATTATAAGCTCTCATATTGTTGTTAATGTGAATTATTCTTCTCACCCTCAATTACACACACTCTCTCTCTTTTCTCTCTCGATTTCTCAACTTCATCTTCTCCAAATTAACTCAATTCTCTATTAATTCACCATTAGAGATTTTGTATGTTCTAAACGTACTTATATAAATATAATTTAAATCATATTATTCAAAACAACATTAATTAATAAGTTCTTTGAGGTAAGAAAGAGTCACAAGAGTCACGGTGAGTTGTTTTCTCTGTAAGAATTAAGTATGCCTTCTTTATCCCTTAAACTTAGGCCTAGCAGAACGAGATGCTTAAGGAGTCATTTGCTTAAACTTGAGACCTAGCAGAACGAGATGCTTAAGGAGGCCTAGCAGAACGAGATGTTTAAGGAGTCATTTGGATAAGCTGACCTTCATAACTTTTCGGGAGTCATTTTCAGACAATCCGGCCATCATAATTTTTTAAAAAATACACATTACCCAACTGAACAGTTCTTAAGAGAAACTCACTCAGACAATATAGTAATTTTTTAAAATGTACAATATTATAAATATATGTTCATATTATATACTATTACTTATGTAAATGTAATTCGAAATTTGAAAGATTTTTTTCGAATGAGTCCCGTGCATTTAAGTCACTTAAAATTTTAATTATCTTAGAAATGAGAGCTCAATTTAAAGAAATCAAATCCCAAAATATGATCGAAGTTGAAAATCATTCAACCTAATTATTGTCACCTAAATAGAGTTATAGACTCCTATTATTAACTTCTCATTAAGTCATTGTGACGCAATAGCTTTATCTTAAAAAATAACCAGAAGCAGACACTGTATAAATAATGTATGCCCAATGCTAGGTTAAGAAAAGAGTGATCAATACTCACACACATTGTATTATTCATAAACTCATAAACTAACTTCCATTTTTCATTTCTTGATATGCAAGTAACACAAACACATCGTTATAGTAATAACAATATTCTAGTACACTCTAAAAGAAAATTGCCAAATCAGAAACACCATAAGCTTCTTCAATCCAAGGAACATTGACACACAGTTTTCCATCACCTACCCACTCAAAATCCACTTCACAACCATTCACTTCAAACTTCTTTGGTGATTCATTACAATAAGCAAGAAAACTCCCACCACCTTTAACCTTAATCTTAGCACCATTTCCAACATATTCCAAATCTATAACTGTTCCACCACTGTTGAACATGTTTGTCAACCCAATTGGTGCAAATTTGATGCTGCCACATAACTTTGTAACCGGAACAAAACTGTATAGCTCAAATGTGGATGGTTGAATAGTAAACTGAATTGGTTCAGATTTTGGAGTCATCAAACAAAGTTCTTCAGCTTGATTCATGTAGACTACATAGTCTTCTGCCTTTCCCAAATGAGATGTTTCTTCCTTTTGATCCCATTCAACTTCGGTTACATGAACAGTACCGGTTATTGGCTTGTAGCATTCAGGGAAGCCCCTAAACTTCTGCATTATTGGATCCCACCCTGCTCCTTGACAGTTGAAAGCACCAATCACCCCTCCATACTGTTATACATGTCATAGATTGATAGTCAGACCAACGAAAACACCAGACACCAGACACGATACATACACATTACTAATGAAAGTAATTGAATGTAAAACATATGTCAGTATCGTGTCAATGTCAGACACTTATACTCGTTAGTGAGAGATATGTACCTTGTTGAAGTTCCAAATTTTGAGGACAGTTGTACGGTCAAATAGAGGGTTTTTGAAAAGACAATCTCTAGTTGGAAGTGGAAAATATATGCATTTTGGTATTGTACCATCAGGGAAAACAAGCTTCTTAATCAAATCAAAATCATGAGAGCCAACATTATCACTCACATAAATTGGCCCACCACAGATAGCTCTTGAACCAGCATGAAATTTAGCACAAACATGATCTGATTGGAACATATCCCAATCAGGCTGAATCATTTGTCCCATCCATAAACTATTGTAGGAACAATGAATCATGTGCACACCTTGCAACCAAAAACTTCCCATTGGATCACCATTGGGATCTTGGAACCAAAAATCATCCCCTGCAAAAATAACATTTTGGTAATAAAAACTACAAAATTTCATTGATATTGTGCTTGTATTGTATACTAATTAAGTGCTTACCAACTCTTCCCATAGAAATTTGCTTTGTTCCAAGAAAGAAAAAGTCATTACATTGTTGCATGCTAGCAATCATTCCATTCCCATTAAAGTTCTTTACAATAGATTTTGTCAGTCCTTCATAGTAAACTTTTGCAAGATCAACTCTACCTCCATATTCATCACAGACATATTCAAGAGACTACATAAAAAAATTCATAATATAATGATTATTACTAGGCCATAACAAAACACTAAAACATTCAAACTAACTTTCAGAAAACTTACATGAATGACATCAACTTTGACTCCAGTGATACCGGATTCAGCAAGATAAGAATGCATGGAGTCATAAAGGTCATAAGCTTGACTAGGATGAACTAGCCCAAGTGAAGCTTTGACAATCTTAACCACTGCAAGATCCTCCATTGTTCCATCAAGACCTGGTGAGAGTTTACAAGGGATAATTTTGGTTTTAAGGTGTGTGGTTTCTGGCCTCACACCACCCCAAGCACCACAAAGTGCATGCCAAACATAAACATCATCCAAACCTTTGAACTTTGTCCTCAAATCCTTTGTGAAAGCCTTCAATCCATACTCACTCTTCATCTCACTTTTATCAACACTACTAAATTGTTCTCTACCAAAGAGATCATCAATTTCCTTTACTACTTCCTTGATCTTTGACTCTATTTCATCCAAATCAGAACTCTTAGATAAAATAGCTTCCTCTTTTTTCTTCTCTAATTTCTCATGTTCAATACCCTTTAAAATCAAATCCCTATATTTTTTTGGATCATAAGGTGGTGAATTAGGACCTAATAATAATCCACTTTCATATTTTCTAAACTTGTAACATTCATCAAACCTATGAAGTCTAGCAGTCATTTGTTCACCACCAAGAACAAGATTCTTTGCAACTTCATTAGGATCACAACCATCAAAACTAATGCTTTGCCATCCATCATCGATGATAACAAACCTCGGTTCGACACCGCCTTTCGAAAAATCATCAAGACCATGGAAAATACCAATAGGATTAACAGTTAAATAGAAAGCATCCCATGTGCACCAACCAAATTTATCAACTAAACTTGGGATTGTTTTCTCTTCCAAAAGCCTAAAAGTATTGAGATGAACCCTTATAACACTATAAGCTTCTTTCATCAAATCATAAGGATTTTCAGAAAAATGAACATAAGCAATTGAATTGAATGTCGATTCTCTCACCTTTGTTGAACCACTTTCAGCACAAATCATGACATGATCATTAAAACCAGGAAAAAGTGCAGACCTGAAACATTTTTCTATTATAGGAATGATGACAACATAGGATTTGGTTTCAGGAACTTCAATGAGAATCCATTGAGTTTCCATTTGTAAATCAGAACCAGATTTTCCTATCCATTGAGTAGACCACCAAGTTTTAAACCTGAAAATACTCAAAAAGTATTTTCCATTGAAACTACCTAAGGAATTCATCAACCTATCTGATGGGGTTTCATGAGAGAATCCAAAGAAACCACCTTTGTGTGAAAAGGCAAGAACTTTTTGAAGAAGTGAAGGTGGTGCATTTGATTCTGAGGGTTTGCATATAGAAGAGAATGAGCTGAAAGAAACATTCTCAGGAACATCATGGAACAAAGGAAAACCTTTCACCTTAAACTTTCTTTCGGATAGATCAAATATAGAGTCAGTTTTGATGAGATTAAAGGTGGTGGAGTTCAAGGGAGGAGCCATGAAAACAAGAACACATGTGGTGAAGTGAAGAACCTTACTCTATGTTGGGGTATATATATAACTAACTATGATTCTTTTAGTAAGTTAAATCTATCATAAAAGCATTATTAAAAATAGCGTGATGATTAGTGTTTGTTAAGATAAAACCGACAGAAAACATCATCATCTGTGCCTGCCAACATTGATTCATCACGTACGTGGCTTGAAAGTTTAGGACTATTACAACCGGCTAATACTGCCATACTATAAGGAATGTTTTTTCACTTTGTTCATCTGACAATTAAGCACGGACATCCAAATGCAACTCCGACTTATACAAATAATATAAATAATAATTTTAAAAAAATTAAAAAATTAAAAAAAATTACAAATGTATGTTTTGTCATGAAATTTGGCTCGATGCGTTTCTCATTTTCTTTCATACTATATATAATAGTGTCGGTAATTACAGCTCATAATAACTAATTTCCTATTCTATAAATGTAAATTATTCACAATAACTGCAAAGATTATTTCCTGATTAACATCTCCCCTCAAATTGATGCGGCTGGTCAAGGAGCATCAATTTGCTAACAAGAAACTAATGTCTTGGACGTGGAACAACCTTGGTAAGAATATCTGCAACCTGCAACTGATTACTGACGCGAGGAAGTGATATTATTCGATCATCGTAGGCGTCACGTATTGAATGACAATCAAGTTCGATATGTTTGGTGCTTTCATGAAAAATAGGATTTGCAACAATTTAAATGACACTTGTATTGTTAGCATAAAGTGAAGTTAACTATGTTTGAGAAAATCCAAGTTCAGCCAAAAGACCATGAATCCAAAGTATTTCTGAACAAGCAGCAGACATGGCGCGATACTCTGATTTAGTAGAAGATGTAGAAACTCTTGCTTGCTTCTTACTTTTCCAAGAGATCAATGAAGAACCAAGAAACATATATCAACCAGTAGCAGATCAAGGAGTATCAGGACACCCCGCCCAATCAGCATCACTATAAGCACTCATCTGAAGAGAAATTCCAACGGAAAAGAATAATCTGCGGTGAGAGGTTCTCTTTAAATAGTGAATTATACGAAGAACCGCAGTCAAGTGAAGATGGCGAGGAGAATGCATGAATTGACTTACTTGTTGAACAACAAAAGATATGTCAGGGTGAGTAATAGTCAAGTAGTTGAGGCTACCCATAAGTTGTCGATACAATAAGGGATCAAGCAACAGCCATCATCACGATGATATTTAACATTAACCTCAAGAGGAGTATCTACCGGATTAGCCGATTTAAGACCGGCCATAGAAATTAAATTTGTAGCATACTTGTGTTGATGGAGAAAGATGCCCTTGGATGTAGAATGAACCTCAAGACCAAGAAAATAATGTAGATTACCCAGATCTTTCATATGAAATGAGGCCTGTAACTGTTGCTTAAGTCGTTGAATGGAAGCATGATCTGAACCAGTAATAACCATATCATCAACATACAAAAGAAGTAGAACAATACCCGCAAATGTGCTATAAATAAATAAAGATGAATCATACTGACTCTAAGTAAAGGAGAATCCAAGTATAGTGAAGCGGAATTTCTCGTACCATGCTCTAGGTGTCTGTTTCAAACCATATAAAGAGTGTTTGAGCTTACACACGCCTTTAGATGAAGAGAATAAGCCTTGAGGTGGAGTCATATAAATATCTTCTGTCAGGTCACCATGAAGAAAAATATTCTTCACATCCATTTGATGGAGAGTCCACCCACTAGAAGCAGTTATAGACATGATCGTGCAGACAATTGTCATTTTGGCAACCGGTGCAAATGTCTCATCATAATCAATTTCATATTCCTGCTTGTTTTCTAACGCAACAAAACGAGCCTTGTAACGGTTGAGGGACCCATCAGAATTCAATTTCACAGAATACAACCATTTGTAAACTATAGGTTTTACATCTGGAGGACAAGTGACAATATCCCATGTGAAATTCTCTTGAAGATCTTGGAGCTCTTCATTCATTGATTTTATCCATCGCACATCTTTTACAGCCTGTGAGTAATAAGTAGAAATAGATATGCTAGAGAGTGTGGCAGTCAGAGAAGTATGTGAGGAATCATACCTGTCTGGTGAATATCTATCTGGTGCGTGAGATATTCGACCAGAACGTCGTGGTTCAACCGGTACAGGATCAGGTGGTAGTTCAGCATCGGGAAAGGGTGTGAGAACCTGATGTTTGTGTTTTCTGACATATACATGATCTGATTTATAACATTTTATAGATTGAGGCATAATAGAAAACTTAAGAAGAGTAACAATATCATTAATGGCAGGAGAAACACAGGGAAACATAAACTGATTATCAAAAAATGTCACATTTCTAGAAATGCGAAAACGATGGTTAGAGACATCATAACACACAAATCCCTTATGAGAGTGACTATATCCCATTAATGCACATTGAACGGATTGTGCTCCAAGCTTATGCCTTTCAAAAGGAGGTAAGTGAACAAAACACACCCATCCAAAAGTATGTAAAGCACTATAATCAGGATGAATTTTAAATAGACGGAAGAAAGGAGAATCAAGATCAATAACTGTAGAAGGAATACGATTGATTAAGAAGACAGTCGTGGAAAGAGCCTCCATCCAAAATCAGGATGGTACAGAAGTTTGGAGAAGTAAGGTGCGTGTTACATCAAGCAAATGACGATTCTTACGTTCTGCCATGCCATTTTGTTGAGGGGTATTGAGACAAGACCCTTGAGACAATGCCTTTTTGTTGAAGGTATTCCTGAAACTCATGAGACATGTACTCACGACCAGAGTCAGATCAAATTTTTTTAACACTTGCTTGAAATTGAGTTTCACCATATGTCAAATATTTCTTAAACATAGAAAACACTTCAGATTTAGAACGGAGAAAATATATCCAAGTAAAACGACTATAATCATCAATAAATGTGACAAAATATTTATAGTGAGCATGAGAAACCACATGAGACATTCCCCATACATCACTATGAATTATCTCAAAACAAGTGGAAGCACGATTAGCACCAGACGGAAAAGGAAGTGTTTTACTTTTAGCCAATTTGCAAACAGAACATGAAACAGAGGCATCCGGAATAACATTTTTATTTCCCAACAAACCACTTTTACATAAATGAGACAAAACAAAAGAGTTTGGATGATGATAGACCTAAAATATATTGTTTATTCGACTCGATTTGCGCATGTTATTTAGGATTTTATTTCCGTTTTCTTGTATTATGCCTCTGTTTTGTTTCTTTTTCAGGTTTTTGCGTTTTCAAAGCTACTCGAGAAGAAATGAAGAAAAACGAGCTAAAAGACCAATATTCTCTAGAATTGTACACATGGCTTCCACCATGGCGGGCGCCATAGGGGATGCCACACATTGGACAAGTGACCAACTGCTGACAACTGCCACGTCTCCCACAACTTTCAACCCTAGTTCATATGGCGGGCGCCATAGGGAGGTGGCAGGCTCCACCTTTGCAATCTCGTTTCCCTCCCAAAAGAAGTTGGAGGGCATTCTCGTCCTTACCTGTACTTTCCTACCACTATAAATAGAGGAGTTATGTCTCATTTCCAATCATTCAAGCTTAGTTACAGAACTCAAGCCATAAATTTCACCTATTGTAAAGTGATAAACTTCTCACATCGAAGGGTTATCGCATTGTCTAATCGAGTCTGTAATCGGGTTTGGAGCACTTTGGTAGAAGTTAATCCTGCCGCCATTTTATTTCCGTCATTTACTTCAAGTTGTACCAAGATTTAAAGCCTCCCGTTTGGAGCAGGTTTCTGTTTATTTATCGCCCTTTTTATTTATCCGCTTTTATTTCCCGCATTGTTTATTTATCGCACCCTTTATCGCACTTTATTTATTTCCTCGCACTTTATTTACTCGTATTTATTTACCATGTCTATTTAATTTACCATGTCCGACTAAATCTTAAAGGCTAGGATGCGATGATCGTAGTTAAAATAGTATTCCATACGGCTGCCGATAGAATTACTTAGGGGTTATTCTGACTTTTAGCACTTATTTTCTGCATTTAAAATATGTTGGGTAAGATCGAAAGTCGTTCAACCTTTAGATAAATTTGCTCAGTCTTAATTGTTCAAAGGAAGCGAAAGCGCTTGGACCAGTTAAGTAGGAATCTTTAATGTTTTAGAAAACCGATTTTAAAACGGTTTTCGGACGCGTTTATGGGTTTAAAGTCCGGTTCACAAGAACCTCTTTTTGTTAGAAATTCTAGGTCAAAATACTTTTCAACTAAGTTAAGAAACTATATTTCTTAAAAATAGGTTTAATCACTCTAACGCAATGCGCGCCTTTTTATAAGTGACAATAAGAGGGATCGATTAGGGGATAAACTCGGTTCTGAATACGCGAAAGCGACAGTTCCCGTTAAATTAGTTCTTTTCACGAGTAGAAAACATTACCCCATAAGGCATCCTATTTATACGCATTTGAAATACTACCTGGCTATGTGAATTGCATCTAAGCCCGTTGTTTTAATATTGAATTTATTTTCCCACTTTACTTTTATTTCGCACAACTTAACCCTTTATTGACTTGCCTTAGATAAACATCGTAACAATAGCAACTGATAGATTGACGTTTGGTCTCTGTGGGATCGATAATATTTTATATTACTTAGACGTTATTCGTGCACTTACGAAACACAGCATCAGATGACCCAGTTTTCTATGCCAATCCTCATAGGAAAACCAAAACACTATGACAAGCAAGAGGCAAATGATTAGAAATAAACTGTATTGGAAATAATCTTCCCAATTTAGGCCCCTTCGCGATCACTTTCCCCGACACCTGCTCCTGCACAAGACAACCAAACCGAGAAAAATTAACATTACAATTATTGTCCACCAATTGACCAACAGACAATAAATTAGAAGCAAGTCCAGGTGAGACAAGCACATTTTGAAAATCTGAGTTTATGTCCCTAACGTTAGTGATAGACAAG